CCTCAAGAAGCGGCGGAGGTCACGTATAACATCATTGGCGCCTGAATCATCCCTCACCAGCACTTCGTTGAGAATTCGAGTGAAGGCAGTCGTATCGGTGACGACTGGGACGGTGCCGGATGTCGGGGGGCCGTACGAGTGAAACAACGCAATGGATTTCGGCGTCAAATCCTCCACCGGCACCGACAAGACGCCACGACGACATCCCCACGAGGAAAAACCGCAACGATGAAAGGCCGCACAGGGCAGATGGATGGAGCGCAGCAGCCGCAGCGCTCCTCCTCCCGCCACGACGGCTGTGCGCACTGGGCTCATCCACAAACGAGTGTGTATTCACGCAGGCAGCAGTGCCTCTTCACACTTCTCTAGAGGCTGTGGAGGTGCGCCGGGTTCCAAGTCGCAGAGCGAAAAAAAAAAAAAAAAAAAGAAGCCAAAGTCATGAGGGATCAAGCAAACACAAACATTAAAAAAAAAAAAACGGGAGAGAAGAAAAGAAATAAAAACAAATTCGACCCACCGCCCTTCGTTTTTGTTTGGTTTTGTTTCTTTTCATGTCCTTCTCACGGTCCCTCAATTTGGCTTGCACATCTTTCGGGATGATGGGACGTCGCTAATTTTCTAACGCAGTGCGTGTGAACATCGGCCGTGGAAGAGCCTGTCCACCCCTAAAATTAAATAACTGCTTCGTAATGGGTAATCTCCGCCGAAGGTCCCGCAGTGCACGATCACCAGAGTCCCTCGCGGTCTTCAACACGGCGTCGTGGATACGTTGCTCATGCTGCTGAATGACAACCATTACGGCGGCACACAAATCCCATGCATCCGGTAATCCCGTCGGATCAGCACCAGCCGTGAATATTTCCACAGGCCATTCGGGCAGTGGCGTGAGCGGCAACTCCTGCGCAACCTCCAGGTGCATGTTGCCGTCCTCGTAGTAGTGCGCGTAGACCTGTGTCTCGCCTTTGATGCAGACCTGCGCCTCAGACGACGTGTCCTTGGTGGGTTCCACAACAAAGATAGACTTCCACCGCCCAGACCACATGTTGCGCGGGAATTGATGCACCGCCGCGACCGCAATGACAAGCGATTGGCAATCCTCCCCGCCACTGTGGGAACGCGGCTGAAGAACGGCCATGCCTCCTGCGCTGGCAATAGATGTGCGGTGGTGGATGTCAACTAGGTTTCGTGCAGACCCCATCAGGTGGGACATCCCCCACTCCGCCTGCATCGCAGTCTCTTCCGCCTCCTCCCCAAAACATGCCTGCACATAACGGGAAATTTCCTGTTGAAGCAAAAACCGGGTGTGGCCGAGAGGCCCACCGTGAAGTCCTGTGGCCTGCCGCTCAATCTCCCTCAGCACCTCCGGCATTGTTGGCGCCACGGCAGAAGTAAACGGGATTACACGAACACACAGTTGTGCCACAGGATCAACCTCGATATACAGCTGCAGTGCCACATCAAAAAACACATGATTGAGTTCATCAAACCCCTCAGATGGCAAAATATCGGCGAAAGGATCAAACAGTTCCTGTTGCTGCTGTTGTTGCTGCGGAGGTGCCTGTGACTGTCCGCTGGCATAAGCCTCGCCAGTGGAGTCGTCCAATTCCACGCTTTGGTAGATCCCCTGCTTAAAGTTGGCACTCGTGGGAATAATCGTTGAACGCTGCTGTAAGAAGTATTCCCCCACCCCCTCTGTCACTTCACGGGCTTGTAGGCGACGTATCTTGGCGAAACGCTTTATACGTGTCACGAGGTGGTTCTGCCTCCCGGCCAAGAAAGAGACGTGGCTGCCTGCAACATTGGCACAGCTTTGGGGATCCACGAACCGCACTTTGCTCTCGTGCCGCTTGGCGTATGGGGCTGCCAAAGTAAAAGGCGTCAAATGACGCATATGGTGTTCCATGCAAAGACGTGGGACGACCTCAAAGAAGAGAAGATCATCGCCTGTCAACACACGTAGTGCCTTTAAAACACTCGTTAGCTCGCCGGGTGGCGCAGCAAGAATAAATTGACGTAAGATGTCGGCGGGGTCAACTGCCTCCCTCACAGCAGACTCATGCGACGACATCGAAACTGCTCCGCAGGACCGTGACGCCGTTCCTCCCCCATCAGCGTACATTGAGCACAACGATGTACAAAAAGCATGGTAGATTGGAGCAAGCAAAAAGAACAAAAAGAAAAGAAAAAGAGAAGCTAGGGGAGAAGACAGAAACCAGCATAACGGCACGTAAAATGTGTCCAGATGCCCTTCCATAACAACCACGAGATTGTGAGAAGCGGCAATCCCTCTCGTTACAAGGGCACACACACACGCCTTCTCGAGGGGCTCCTTGCTTCAGGAATCCAATTTCACCCCAGAGATGAAGGCGCCGCTGACGACGCCAAGTCCAAGCCCCATAAACGACCGAAAAAACATCCCGCCACTGTTCCACGTCAGTAGCATGCCAAGGACGCCATAACTTCCCAGACGACTCGCGGTCCGCAGCCAACGCTGCTCCTCGGGTGACTGTCGCAATTTCATTGCCGCGCTCACTAATGCATCCACCTGCTGCTTGCTGTAGAGCTGATAAAAACTGGCATCCTCCACCTCAGCCGCCTGCCTCCCAACACTCAAGACACCGTTACGATCCAAGAACTCCTCGTAGGATGATCTGCAATCCGAAGCGGGTGCTTTGGAGAGAATAAGGAGATTCCGCCACGAACGACGCTTTTGCGCCGCCTCTTCCTCCTCTCTTTGCCTCTGCATGTGTTGCTTCCATGCCATGACTGCTCTGCCACGTTCGCGTTTTGCCTCACGCGTGACATTTTCCTCTGAGCACGCCACGCGTCCATCGTAGAAGCAGGCATACGCCAACCCAACAGAAATGCCAATTGGGGTGCTGTACCCTGCGCTCGGGTAAAAGTAATGGTGCAGCCTCGCCAAGGGGCGGTCGGCAAAGGGCAGACGGGGACGATGATAACCATAAAAATACAAAATCGACAAAAGATACCCGAGAGAGACCGTGTAACGGATGCCTTGTAACATGCGGGACTCCATAAGAATGGCCCCTGGCTGCTCGCTGCTGCGCTCGCACTGCATGAAGAGGGGATAATCATGCGGATTGATCCGATAAAACATGATGGAAAGCCTGTCCATCCCACCCGCTGCTTCCTTCTTTCGTCTTGTCTTGTCTCCCTTTAGAATGCAAGGGAAAAAATCACCACATGCATCTGACGTCAATGGGTAAGAAAGAGAAAGAAAAAAAAAAGAGAAAAACGCACGGAAGTACGCAGAGAGTTCTCCCTGCAGTCACAAGGCCCTTTTCTTCATTATTTTATTATTATTTCAATGTGCGCACCGCACCCATGCACCCGCCTCTCCACACTGAAAAAAAAAAAACATTAAAAAAGAAGGAAAAAAAAAAAGGTGTCTCTCTGTCTCCCTCTCTCTCTTTTTAATTTCTTTTTATTTCTTTTAGATCTTGGTTTGCGTCTACGCTGTTTCCCCCCACACACACACGCACACACACACACACACCCACTCCGTCTATTCATCCATCCGTGTGCCTACACACTCTCAGTCTCACTCTCTCACGCAACACCCTTCTCTTCCTCCCCTCCCCGCTGCGAGCCGTCGGCAGCCCAAAAGGGGGGCGGTGGAGAAGAAGACAAAACAATGCGATGCACTTAATTGGGAATTATTCCTTCCTCTCTTTCCCTCTCTCTCTCTCTCTGTCTGTCTGTCTGTCTGTCTGTCTCGCCCGCTACAACCACCACCATCGCCGCGCTCCCCCCTCCCGTCTGTCGGTTGATTTCATGCAGAAAGAGAAAGAGAGGGGGGCAGTCAAACCAAAAAAAAAAAAAAAGTTCCTGTTGTACCTTTTTTTTTTTCTTTTTTCCTTTTTTTTTATTGTCGTGGATTTTTCTTCTCCAGCACTTCATAAAGATTTCGTGTCGGATTCATTTTTGCATGTATTCTCCCCCCCAGTTCCCACTTCCCCCCGTCACCGTGCAGATGTATAAATAAACGGACGTGTGTATTTGTGTGTGAATGGATGGATGGATGTATTTATTTATTTTACAAAGGCACAGACAAAACAACAACAACAACAACAACAAGAGAAAAAAAAAAAAAAAGGCACATAAAATAAAATAAAAAAGGTGTGAGATAAAAAAAGAGAGAGAAACACACAAGAAGAAGAAGGAGGGTGCACACTTGGGTATTGCGCCAGCGCAACCACGCACAAAACCAGCAATGATATATATATGTATATATATTTATACATATAGAGAGAGAAGGAAAAGTAAAATTGGCCGTTGGTTCCTCCTCCGACCCCTCACACAGACACACACACAAAAAAAAAAAAAAAAAAGGAGGAGCGGGAACAAAAGGGAAGAGACGCAGTCGCAGAAAAGGTACCGAGGCGACCAACCGGCCCTATTTTAATCCATTGTGGCAAAAAACACAAGAAAACACTCACCCAATGCCCTTAAAATAAGGCGACGCGGACATGCATGTGGGCATTAAGTGTCTGTGTGTCGGTGTGCTCCTTGCATGGACATGCCTCACCCCTCCCCACCCGTCCTCGTCAGGTAGCAAACTGAAAAAAAAAAAAAACCTGCCTCGCTTCCCTTCGTTCCCCGCCTCAGGGATATCTACAGCCCTCACGCCAATAAATACACATACACACACACACACACACACAGTTTCCCTCTCCTGTGTATTGGTCTGCCGCAGGTACTTCGTTTGTGTTTTTTTTGTCGTTGTTGTTGGTGTTTTTCCTTTTCCCTCATCCTTCTCATGCTCCTTATTGGGATCTGTTCGTTCCTTTTCGGCAATCACGAAGACGCGATATGCGCATGGGGGAAAAAACTTTATACATCCGTATTCAACAAGGCTGCACGGTACAAAAACAACAACAACAACAATGTTTCTAGCCATTCCCCCAAATGACCTCCACGCGCATATATTATACACATACATGCATGCATACTGATATAGTTTTATAAACACCCTTTTCTCAGCTCATATCGTGACAAAACCCTTTACAGTACCGCTCCGCAATGGGACCCCCGCGACACGCTGGAACAAACACTTGTCCCGTCTCCTCATTCACCACGACATCTTCAACGACGCGGGCGATTCGACCCTGTATCTTCTGGCAGTAACGCAGCAGAGCCGCACTCTTCGCACGCACTGTCTCCATTATTTCTGCAACTTCGTCAAGTAGCGCCATTAGCCCAAAGTCGGCTGCACTCACGGTGTCTCCAGAATCATGAGATGCAAACAGCAACGGCGTGGCGTCGGTCCGCTCGGCGTATTGCACGTATAGACCAAAAAGCAGCACCCACTGTGTGGTTCGTTCCGTACTAGTCGTATCCCCATCACTGTTACGGCTCATCTCTCGCGAGCCTAAAGAACTACTGCGATCGTATACAACTGAACTCGCTGTCGCTGCTGCCGACATTCGCCCTGTACAACTCTCCTGCTGAGAAGAGAGAATAACGGAACGCAGCTGTGTGCATTCCCCGTGTACATCCTCCAAAAAGAGACGCCAATCCACTACCTGCTGTTCCAGAGCTTTAAAGTTGTCTTTACGGAACGCACGCGGCTGTTCATCGCAGTGGAACACGAGCTCTTCAAGGCACTCCAGGCACTCGTAGAGGAGGTGCATAGAGACACGTTCCCAATACAACATCCCACGCAGTTTTGTAGCGTCAATAAAGAATTTCTCAGTTGGAATTGAGAAAAACCCTCCAATGGTCTCCTTCGCAACTCCCATTTGAAGATTTTGCTCTGCCGCTTTAAGTGATTCACGAATGCGTGAAGCGACAGACTCCAACTCCAGGCCGATGCTGACCAAACGTGCCGAGTCGCTTCGTATCGTCTCAGCGGCAGCGGGTACCACCAAGATACTGGCGTTACCGCCTTTGTTGCTCTTTTTTATATCGGCGCTGTTGGGGTTCTTCCCCCCGCCGCTGTGCATCGCCTTCTCTGTGGAAGAGAGAAGAGCGGTGGGGACGCTGGTGCGCCTGGGGCCCGCCATGTTGCTACCCACCATGCCCTCCCTACTTTCAATATCACCCAGAAGGGCCTCCGCCATTACCATAACGGATTCTTTCCGACAGACATCCACCATAACCTGCGCCTCGCGCAAGTGCCAGAGGACGGCAAACTGCATAAAGTCCTGGAAAAGATCAGGTTTGGCCCCACTCTCGTACGGTACGTATATAACCTTCTGCGTCTCCTCCAGGCGGCTCCAGAATTTCCCAACATCCTTCACAAATTCCTCAACGGAGGCGATTTGATCTTCAACGATGCCTCGCATTCGTTGCGGTCGCATAGACAAAACAGACGTCACGGTAGGCCTTGAGAAGTGCGAGCGTGTGGTTAAAAGGGTGCTCCCGTTTTGAGCCGAAGCACGCGATGTGTCGAGGACTTGATCGTTATGTGCGTTTCCAGATGATAAATCATAGGGGACACGTCGTGCGATGTCGTCACCGTGCAAGACCTGCTGAGTGGAGAATAAGCGGGAGATCAGTGTCACAAAACTTCCCATCGCCTCCGTAATCTCCTTGGGGGAACTTGAGACAGACACCTGTTCGATCTGCTGCAGTGATTGGTTAAGAAGCTGAATGTGCCGCTGGGCGTGCACATGGGCGGAGGAATCACAGCTAGCATCGGATGAAATGACGGCCGCGGCAGCATCCGCATCCTCGAGTAATCGCTGTGCATGTGTGCGAATGGCCTGTTCCACGCGTACGATCCCATTGATGAGTGCTGCGTTACGTTCTACAATGCGTGTATTGTGGCGCTGCAAGCTTTCTAGCTGTCGCCGGTGGGACTCCCTCTCACCCTGTCCAGATCTCGTGATTTGCGCAACCCAGCGCAGCAATGATTCTGGTGCAATTTCTGACCCGCCAACAGAACCCGCCGTCTCCTCCGCCTTGCTGCTATTCATAATTTCCGTCACGGCATTTGCCCGCTTCTCTACCACGGATGGGGATGTTGCCGCAACACTGCCAACATTGTCACGTCTTCCAGAGTTGTCACGGAGACGCGTGGAGTTCGGTACAGAAGATAGTAACGAAGCGGCTGCAGTCTTACGCAGGCGCTCCACGGCCGTAGCAATGACACGACCCTCGAGTGAATGGTAATCCCGCTCAATATTTTCCATCTCCTCCTCATCGAGGTTGAGTCCTAGCTGGTTATTCATTGCCATGCGAGAGACTAAAGCGTGTAACTTGGAGAAGTCGTCTAGCAGGGGGCGTGGAGCACTTATTTGGGCAAACAATGCCTTCAGATCCTCTGTTTTGTTTTCAATTTTCGTTAGTGATGTCAATAGTTCCGGGGGCGTTGTAAGTTGCACCGCAACGCTTCTCTCTGCGCTACCGTTGATGCCACTTTTGCTAGGATTACGGCTATCCTCTGAATAGATGGCAGTCGACGTCCTCATGGCAGGGGTAGTGCTCTGACTTCTGCTGCTGACAGCAGTGTTGGCGGCAGCGGCGGCGTTATTACTATTGCTATTTTGTATTGGTGTAAAATTCTGGGAGAATGGGGCGGAAGGACTGTGCTGATGGCGCTGGCGTTGGTTGTTGCCATCCGCCCTTGAGGAGGTCACGGCGGCACGCTGAGGGTGCCCACTGCTCAAGTTGCTTTCCTCACGCATCACGCTGCCCCGCTTGCCTGTGGCAAACACGATCGGATACGGCGAAAGCGCTGACGTCGGTGTGGAAGTGGCGGCAGCAAAAGAAGGCGAGGGCGCGTGCTGCGACGCCGCCACCGGACGCCGTGTGCTCGGAGCTTCGAGTGTAATTTTTCTCTGTTGCGGGATCGACGTCACGCCCCCACTCCTGCAGAACGCCTTGGAGTCCTCGTAGCTGAACACGGAGAGATACCGCTCTGACCGCCCCGCCTCCTGCGCCACGACGGCAAACGGAACGGCGGTAAGAAATCGCATGCGGACGGGTGTGACACTGCCTCCCAGTGGACCTCCGCGAAAGAGTAGCGACGGCACGTGCGGATCGCTGAGGTCGATGAGACCAATCGCCTCCTTCGTGCACTGCAGCCACTCGCCGTAGCCGGTCACAAGCGCCGTGTTCTCCAGGAATGTCATAGAGCTGATGGTGGCGTTGATGACGACAGGCATGCCACACGTTGACGGATCAATGGCGGCAAGGCTACGGGTGAGCGCAACATAAATGAGATTGGCCGACTCGTAGTAGGTGATGAAACGCATCTCACTTCGCATACGGAGAGTGTTCTCTGGTTTTTCAGGAGATGGATGCGCCAATTGTACATTATTCCCGGCGGCGTCAAAGACGCGAATATACGCGTCATCGCTGATCGTCCACACCTGCTTTACACTGCGCACGTAACAGA